AATAGGGGGACCACCTTCCACTGGCCCCCCGGGAAGAGGTAAAGGCATGCAACAATTGTGCAGCCATATGGCCTTACTTGAGGGCTGGTCATGCACAGCTGATTTTGGAGAACACAAATATAACTTAACCATACTTTGGAAATCAAAAGACTATGTTTGGGACCACCGAAGTAAAGGATTTTTTTGGGGTCACCCAAAGACTATTTCAAAGATGGTCTTGGACTCCCAGGGTACTATAATGTGAATCTCCAGTTTATGAAAGCTGAAGGCCCGCAGACGGTGACTGACGCAGGGTGTGGGGGTTCAATAGCTTGGTCACTTCGGATAGTGGTCGGGTTGTCGGGTCTTTTTCTTGTGAGTCAGGAGAGCATCGCTGTCTACACTGAGCAATTGCAAGTGAGCAAAGAGAAAGCCTTCGCTTTGAAGCCTAGCTATTTTTAGTAGGCTGGGAAGGGTGATCTGGCATTTTTGGAGCTTTCCTGTTGTTTTCATCCCGTGTCCCTCTGTAGATCTCCACCGTGCTTTGCACGCACGATACAAACCATCCGCAAAAGCCTCGCAAGCTGGACACCGCTCCATTAGGTGTCGCCGCGTCGCCTGTTTCAGGGTTGGACACCGCTCTCTGCGCGCCTTTCGTCCGAAAAACGGATCTTGGAGCCTTTCGTCAGAAGAACCCCCGGTTCAGGTCCTTTGGATGTCCTTTTGGTTCAGGTCCCAAGCCTCGAAGCCGACGCTTCCGACGCATGACGCTTCCGTGGAGTGCCGTGGTCGATGGAGTCCTTGAGGTATGAAGAGCATGGCACCTGTTTGAGAGGTCTCTTGGCTGAGGGCATCCTGGATGAGGAGGGTGCCGAGGAGTGCCCCGGCCCGAAGGCACTGAGACCCGAAGGCATTGGGTCCAGATTGGTGCGCAAAGCACCAAAGGACCAACCACCCAGTACCCATTGGTACCAATACATACCAATACCACGTTTGCCGCAGTGCTTCTACGGGCGGGTTTTGGACCGCGTTTGTTCCGTGCATTCTAAGAGAAGGTTTTTTTTCTTTCTGCAGCAAACCCGGTCGCAATGCCGAAACATGGCGCTCAGGTATCTACGTGAGGTGCATGCCATCGACTACTCCGACGGGGCCTTTTCAGGGGAGAGGGAGGGCTTCAGACAGAATGAGCACAAGTTATTTGTTCCAGGTGAGCTCGAACAGTTGCTGTTTGTTTTTTTCCTTTTAAGGCCAATAGTTGCAAGACCAGGGCAATGGATCATTCGATCTTTGAGTTGGGTCAGTTCCCGTGTCGCTCCAGGTGAATTCCTTGGCGCTGGCAGAAATGAAGTACAGTACAGTACTCTGCCTGGAATTCCCAGAATCGCTTTGATGATCTTTAAGCAAAGAACCATTGTTTCGTGGACCGAGTAGGTGGGCACAGAGTCCTGGAGTTCGAACCAAAGTTTACCCCAATGGTTTTCTCCAAGCTATCAATGTGTTGAAGGTAAAGCCAAGTTTCTTCCAGGCTCCACCCTGCTCGGATCTCCCTTCCCTTTCTCCTTGGGGGGGGTTCGATTCGACGTGAATTTGGTTGCAAGAATGATTCGCCACCAGACGTCGACCTCCATCTTTGCTTACCCAAGGACATTGCTCCCGACCCGCACTTGGTGCGGCTGTTGTCGCGTCTCCAGCGACGCCCGTGGATTTTCACGGCCGCCACCGCAGAGACCGGACGCCCAGAGCGTCCTCGCCGCCGACGACGGTCGTTTTATATAAATGCCATGAGCCTTTTGAAGAGCACTTTTATTGAAGAAACGCCAGGGTCGTTCTTTTCTTCATTTTTACATTCCGGACGAGGGGGGGTTGTACCATGTTTGGTTAGCCCCAAAGGACGATCCCACGAGAGCCTCCGGGTCCCCAAGGCATGCGCAGCGCTGCTCGGGGGCTCGGAGAAGTGAGAGCGTAAGGACCTACTGAGCTGCGAAGTCTGGGTTTCGTCATCAACAAAAGAAGGGCAGGTGTTTTTTTGGGAACTGCAGAGCGTAGGGAAACAGAGCTCATTCTGAGCTTTCAGAAACCAAGTCATTCACATGGCAAGCAGCGTAGTCTGCCTGACCGCTGGTCTGCCTCGCTTCGCATTTCGGAGGGGTCACCTGCACGTCTTTTATACATTCTTTACTCTCCCTCCAATAGTGGAAGTGGATGGAATTAAAAAAAATGGTATTGGGATGGTCCTTGTAACTCTGTTTCCCGTGTTTCTTTCCTTTCTTGTTGAACAACGGATGGTCCTCCCCTTCGGATTGCACTCTGATGTTCCCAGGCTTGAGCCGCCTGGGCGTGCCCGAAAGCCAGCTGGCAGGGATCATCGACACCCGCGACTGCAGGCGCCGCGGATGCGCCGTGATCCGGAAGCGATGGAAGCGATTCCAAGGCACCAGAGATGGAAGAGTGATATTTGAAGAGTGTTAAGGGGGGGGAACCGCCCTGGTGGTCCCTTGCCTGGGCCGACGCTTTTCAGGCCTTGGCTAAGGCTCTTCCTTTGGTGCGACACGCAGGCAGCCCGTCGTTTTCCTTCCAGGCTCCAGACGAAGCACAGCCGCTGCAGCTTTGAAGTGGCCATGGAGACGGTGGGGGTTCAGAGGCCGGGGACCGATGGGGAGCGGGGGGCTGAGACCCGGACCGCAATGGACGGGGCTTCGCTGAGCTCCTTCTTTTGCATGGCAGCAGCTTATAGCAGCAGTTTCTTGGAAGTAAAGGTTATACAAGCATGGGCTCTCTCTCGTGTCTGTCAAGTGAGTCAGGCCAGAGCACTGCATCCTCTGTGACGACAGCTGGGGAGCCTGGGCCGATTCCGCTGCTACAGCCCGTCGGGACCGTGGTCGCGAAAGTCCTAGACTCGTGTGTAGACCCATGTAGACCCAGTGCGTGGACGTTGTTGCACAGCCACGTGCGTGCGTCTAGTGCGTGGAATTGAATCCGAACAGTTCAGCAAGGTTGGCGTGGTTGGTGTATCTACCTGAGTAGAACCATCCGGGCGTGGGAGGTCACCAACAGGCCTGTGAAGAGGTCACGAACGGAAGAGGTCACGACATTTCGAAGTTCTCCAGCTGAGACCCGAGACGAAAACCCAAGTTTCGCCAAGTTCAGCTGGCTCCTGGAAATCCAGTCCCGACCAGAAACACGTGATGGATGTGTCTCGACTCCGCCCCTTCCTACGTCAAGGCTCTCCAGCTGGCGCCGGAACCAGTTGTTTTCTGGTTGGGACTGGGTTTCCAGGGATTGCGCGAACGCCCCGCGCTGCGGTTGGGGGCGTTGTTCGGGGGCCGTCGAGCGAACGTGGGCTGGTGCAGATGCGAGGCTGCCAGAACGTCCGTGCAGCGAAGCGCCTGGGCTGGCGGGTGGTGCTGGTGGGCCTCAGGGCACGTCTGGATGGCTCTGCCGTGAAGTGCGAGGATGGCAGGGGAGGGCGGTAGGCCAGGGTAGGGTAAGGGAAGATCCATCCAGGTGTACTATTTGGGCGACTTGGGTGGAACTGGCCCAGGTGTGTGGTGTGCTGTCTATTTGTGTGGAACCCCTATTTGGGGAGACAGAACCTATAGAGAAACGACGACCATTCAAGTGGTATTGTTTGAGATTCCTGCCTCCCTTGGAGATGAGATACTGGAGATGACATGAGCAGGAGGGTTCATCTCCGGTTTTTTGTAGGGTCCGGTCGTAGTACTGAGGTTACGGCCAAGTCAAGCATGGCTGGTATTACCACGAGTTATATAACCAGATTGAAACGAGACGAACCAGGCGGGGCAGCGCCGACGCAGGAGGCAGATTTCCACATTGGTGGCTTGGCCGTCAGCGAAGCCGTGTGGTTGAGAAAAGGACAGCGAAGCCGTGCGAGTTGGTGGACCCGTGCAGATAGCTGCTTTTGCTGGACCCGCCACTTGCAGCGCCTCGAAAACACCCCACCCGACCGAGCCTCCGAGGCTCCATCCTGGAGCTGCCCGAGGTGATGCCGGAACTCTTTGTTTGAGCCACGCAGGTTGGTGTGAAGGAGTGGCGAGCCATTGTGGAGGAGTGGCGAGACATGTGATCATCAATCATACAGCACCTCAAGAAACACATCTCTCAGCTTTCTCACCTTAGTTGTATAAGCTGCGTTAGTTAGGTATATAAAGTTGTTTGTGCTTTCGTTGGGGCCAAGAAAAGAGGATCAAATCATCCAACAACCTGGCATGGGGGCTTTTAGTTTTGCCAATGCAATGGGTCCCTGTGTGACTTACTTATATATTTTGATTTCTCCTTCGCATTTCCAGCTTTGGCCAACTTTTCTCTGAACCCTCAGGAGTTGTCCGACTCGCCGCCTACGTGAATGTGAGATGCTGAGGCGGCTGAAGGCCACACGCAAGGATTTGTGGAAGAATGAAGTAGTCAAGCGAAGACTAGAAGTATCACTTTGGAGCTCATGAGAAAAGGACATTGAACCAATTTCAGCCAAGAGACAGGGAGCCTTGAAGCTGAAGGAGAACTTCCACCGTACATGGCGGCCAATGTCCCATGCCGCCGTGCGCAGGCCCCGGAGTTCAACGGAGTTCTCTTCAGCGACCGTGGGTGTTCGCTGCGGAGACAAGAGGCTTTGCAGTTCGTCCTTTGTCGCGTTCAGGTGCTGAAAACGGTTCGCCTTTTTGACCGGGATGCCCTGCCTATGAGCTTCAGATGGCTTTTGGGGAAGATCCACAGATCTTGGGCTATATAAGGGCATTTTTGCTTTGCTCTCAGTGAGTTTGTGGGGTAGCTGCAGTGGATCAAGAACAATCCGCTTTGAGATCCATGAGACCGAATGAGACTCACAGAAGGTCTGACACCAACATGAAAACCTGTGGAACAGATGCACAGCATTGCGCAGCCAAACTGTCCAGCCAAGTCCTTGCACAGCATGACTGTCAAGGCCAAACCACAAGGTTTGCTGCGGATTGCCAGACCAAAAAGGCAGCCGGCCTAGCTATTTGGAGCTGACTTTTGCTCGTTTCCCTTCATCCAGGTCGGTGTCGACTGCCAGGTCCAGGCGTCGCCCTCTTCCACGGTCCTTGGCCCGCCTGCACCTTCCCCCACCTGGCACACCGCGCCGAGACCGGAGATCCGATGCCATGGCGGAGGCCCGGCGCCGTCGGGCGGTGCTGGGTGCGCAGGGCCTGGCCGCGCTGTGGATCACCTCGTCAGAGATCCTAGGCCCGAACACGGCGGGATGCTGTGGGTGGGGGAGATGCAGCTGGAGATTTACAGCAGGGTCAGTTGCTTGAGCCGTACTAACTTCCTGCACTTCAATGGGACAAAGTATGGGTGCGTTCGATGAGAAAAGGGATCCCTGGCAGTTCGACCCGGAAGGTTCGGAAAATCGACCAGCCTACCGTCCCCATTAAAATGCAATATGGTTGGAGCATCCGATGGTGAACTCTAAAAAGGAACTTTCGCAGACATAAGGTCGTTTTGAATCGTTTTGATCAGGTTGAAGAAGATATTGTTTTGAGGGGCATCCGTTGGGTGGCGTCAATGGGGGCAAAAGACTGTTTTCATGCCCTTTTCTCTCCTTTTCTCATGCTCAACAGGACTCACAACCAAGGTCAAGCGACCTTAGAGGACACTATTGGAGCACCTATGGGGTAGTCTCTAGGGCTCTTCAACCCCTGTGGCTCGTTTTGGGCACGAGCTTCCAGGTTCCGAGCACCTTCGGTCGCAGAGCAGCGCCGTGAGCGGCTTCACGCAGCGTCCGGAGGCGAGGGCCGTTCCGAGCCTCCGGGCGCCAAGACCCAACGCCGTGCCTGCGTTTTTGGGGGGCGGGTTGATGCGGGTTGGGCATGTGTGTGCGGGGGGGCCCTTCTGGAAGAACGAGGACGCCCCCCCTGTGAACACACTTTCTGTGGAAAAGCTCCAGTCCCCAGAGCTTCGATTTCGACTCAGTGCGTGAAGCCGAAAAGGATCCGGAGACCGGACGCACCGCACCGCGCTGCCGGGCTCGCCCTGCGTGCGTAGGTGGCCGTGGAGGTGCTCTTGCTGGCTGCGGGGTTTGAGCTCCGTGAAGGAGCGCAGCGTGAGCCGTGGAGGATGGGGTGAGAAGGAGGTGGAAGCTGGAGGTGCTCGAGAAAACCAAATCGGTGGGCGGTTTTGTTGCAGAGAAGGGTCCAAGTTGCCGGAAGGTTGATTCACCAGAACGAGGGCTTGTTCGAGAGAAGGCCATTCTGAAAACTTACACTTTGAGATGAGAGGTGCCATCCGTTTCATCGGGTCAAGCCTTGAGGCTTCTAACTTCTAGGAGTGAAGGACATCTTCATTTCCGAATGCAACTTTTAAGTCGGCTTTTTTGGTATCCTTTCTAATCAATCTCGTGCGACATCGCAAGAAACGACCGCGAGCATGTTTGACGGCCACTGAACCTTCAACTCCTTGTATCACGGCACGGATCAATCAAGAAAATCGAAGTGATTGATCAAGTTGACCGGCCCACTTGGCATTACTAGTAGTAGCAAGAATGCTTCTAGGAACACAGGGCATTGCTACTAAGAGCAAGAAGCTGATGGAACCGAGGACGGCGAGCCGTGCCGGTGAGCCGTCGGTTGCGAGGCGTCGGCCGTGCGCTGGGTGCCCTGCCGGCGGCGGCGCTGGCGATGGCGGTGCTGCTGCCGTGGGGGCGGCTGGTGGAGAGAGCCGGGTGGAGGAGAGCCAGAGGTGTAGGGTAGACTTGAGAGATTTTTATTGCAACTTTCCACCTGGAAGGGGTTTTACGATCCAAGCTTTTTCTTTTAGATCAAGAGTCTACATTAATTAAAGGTGTGGTTAGAGGTGAACTGTTTCATCCTAAGAAAAGACGCCGGCGAGAATGAATGGACTTGAAGACAGATCCACTTCACTTACGTACAGTGGTTTCAGAGTAGATGGCATAGACCCAAAGATGTCTTAGACAGATCGGGGGCCACCACGAAACCACCGACATTGGGGGAACTTGTGCCATTTCTCACCTCTCAGTCCCAGCCCACCAGGATGGAGGGGTGGGATGGGACGGGGTGGGCTTTAGGACGCTGCTGTCCTGCCAGCTGCTGCTGCGACCCCTGTGGGAGCCGGTGTCCTGGTGAAACCGTGAACGGCGGGGGTGGGCAGGGAGGTGGACCTACTAAACCGGCATTGGCATGTTTTCTCCATGTCTTCCACTTGTGCTTCCAGAACTCCCCAATCTCTGCCAGGAGAACAGTTTACTTTCCTCCCACTTGCTGAAATCAGCCGCCCTTATAACGACTCATGGATCGCTCCGAAATCACTCCAAACTCACCTGGAAAAACACATCCTCCTACTAGGACCTTCCCACCTTTTCAGGATTGGTCTACGTGACCTTTTACAGACCTGTTCGTGACCTCAGCCGGGATCTCAAAGGGTCGGAGGGTCCGGTCGCCTTCCACATCTCACCGAGGAGGCCTGTCCTCTTCCCAGCGCACCCCTCGCCTCGACGCTCGCCTTGGCCACGCTGCTGGCCCTGGCGGCCCCGCGGAGCCCCGTGCGGAGCGCCACGTCAGGGCTGCTGTCCGCCTTGGAGCGTTCCAGACGGCTGGGGTGGCCGCCTGGCGGAAACCCGTCGCCGGGAGCGGGCGAAACCTCGCGGGAGGCTCTTGGTGGTGATCAATTGGTTCGGAGTTGAGGCGCGGTTGGAGTTGGAGTGAAAAAAAAGGGGCGCTGAAGAAAAGGGTTCTCAGGCTGGTGAAGGTTTTGTTTTGGTTGTTTTGGTTCTTGGCCCACCCGCCACATGGGTTGTGTCAGAGGTGAAGATCTCTTGCATGAAGCGAGCCAGACTTGGATTCTTGCTTTTGTCACGGCCCAGAAACCCATAGCGCCCTTGCATGACTTTACTCCGAAAGCTTTGAGGTTCAGAATATGGGAGTCTTTGCTTTGGTGTGTTAGTTCATGGTGTAAATTGGGCATACTGCATACTGACTTAGACAGGTTGGGATGAAGCTCGAGGAGTTTAAGACAGAATGATATTGCTGGTCTCACTGTCAAGAAGAATCCCAGCTTCACAGACACCAACAAGTCCTCATTTGCCAAATACAGCGACATTGCAACTTTGACTCAACCATAGATAGCCTTTTTCTATTGGCTGATTCATGAATAGCGGGATGAAATCATACCCAGCCTTCAAAGACCATTCAAAGAATGGTTAACCTGGTTTTTGTAGTCTAGAATCCAGAGTAAAACAGCTTGGTTCTTTAGGATTCAGACCTTCAAGACAATGGTTCTTGGAATTCTTAGGGATAATATATATATATATACAGGATTATATAGTAGTATATTCATAGAACCTGATTGACCCCTGTTTTGGAGCCCAAACACGGTCTTTTAATATCCAAACAGAGGTCAAGCGGGTTCTAGGTAGGAAGCTTCTGGTACCCACAAGCTCGTGTCTCCCAGTTTTGCCTTCTTCGTCTGGCTGACTCTGGTGCTTCCAATTGCCTACAGTGCCTACACCGCCGAGAGTGCTGACACGGCGCGGGTGGCCACTTGGGCTTGGCCTGTGGCACAACTCGGGGATCTGTTGCTAGGTGGGAGGGGCAAGAGCGGAAGGGGGCAGATGGAACAGAGCTGAGCTCTCCATGTGAAGCGACATGAAGGATGGTGAAACCGTGAAACCTATTCTTTAGGAGTTATCTCAAACCTAAGCATGAACATGGTGGAAGTCACTGAACCTGCAAGGAACACCTTCTTCCGATCTTCCCTCAAAGGGGGCCACGACGTGCGTTTCGCAGGTGCATGTGCTGCAGGCCAGCCGTTTGCTGGCTGGCAGGGAGGCGCCAGCCTGCAGTGGGACACAAGAGAGATCACACTGGGACAGCCATTGCTGTATACAGCTCATGTAGACTCTTGATTATTCAAACCCCCATATGAAGAGGCCCTGCAATCTGAACGGTTTATGTATGAAGAGTCTACATTATGCCAAGTGCCATCCAGGTCCGAGTCGCGCCAGCAGAAATATGGCAGTATGGATTGGTTGCACAAACATGTGCGACATGTTTGTTGAAGTCAACAGGTACCAGATGGGTGTGTTCTTTTAGGGAGACACCCTGGACCAATGTTCGACGGGTCTATTTTTCCCTTCCACGGGGGTTGGGACGCCTGGGAAGGGAAAGCTAAGAGACCCTCTTCTACTTGATCCCCACATCTGCGGACTACGGTCGTGTGAGCATGATGTTTACACCAGAGTGTGCTCCCCTCGGTGTAACACCTCACTGTTGGCAGGTGTGGCGGATGTGTGGTGCACCTTGCTGGCAGTGGTGCTGTGGCTCCCCAATTTGGAGTTACTTGGGCCGGAAAATGCTCGGCTCTCACACTGTGGGCGTGAAGTGTTTCAGCAAGGCGAAGAGCACATCAACGATGGTTGGTCGAAGTTTGGCTTCTTCACGCTGGAATTGTTTTGCTGGAATTGAGCTGTACATCCTGTTCCCGGTGCCAAATCCTCCTTTTGGAGCCATGCTACCCCAAGCAGCTGCAATCCGTTGCCCACGCAGCTGACTTGTCAAGTGGTTGCATGAACTTCCGCCTGTCACCTTGCTGACCTTTGCCCACCAACATTCACCAACCACCATGGGAAGTTCCACTGATCGTCCCTTCCCGGGGGTCCGAAAGACACCACACCCTCCCCGCTGAAGCGCTGCGGAAGGGACCGGACCGGTCCGTTAAAAGGAACCGGGTAACCCGGGGAACCCGGTGTGACCTGCGCGGTGAAAAGGCCCCAATTGGGGTCAGGAGCAATACTAAGGATCATACCTACCCTAAGTGTGAAAGTGTGAAAGTGTCAGGTGACCCTCACAAGACACCTCTCCTGAAAGTGTGAAAAGAGTCTTGGAATTCCAGGGCCAATACTAATCTCATGCCTACCCTAATCCACCACCCCTAATCCGAGGGATTTTCCAATCACCATCAGAAATGGGTGGTGCCGGATACGAAGAATGGCCCAAGCAAGCAGAGGTTCCAACGAAACCCGCCCATGCTCCCGCGATGGCTGGAATCGCGAGGTCCCTTGAGGGCTTCCACGTGGCGCGCGGCGCTGCCTTGGGCCTCACCTGGGCGCTCATGGCAGGCACGGTGCGGGTTCCACAATCATCAGACCCCCCCGTCCCCAAGTGGGCCAACCCTTGGAGAGGCGAGAAGACCCTTCTTCTATGGTGGAACCGGACCGACCAGATACCAAGAAGATATGACCCCTGTCCAAAGACTCTGCACCACGGAAATCAAAGAAAGTCCTTTTACTATTCGTTTTGCCATTGTTTTGCCCATAGGTTCTGCCGGGTCCGCTCCAGGCCCCTCCGGCAGTGCTTGGGCACGTGCAGTGGAACACCCCTCTTTAGAAGGCGTGAAGAGCACACGGCCAGTCATGACGTGCCAAAGGAGCGTGGGTCATGACGTGCGAAGTGCCGTGGTGCGTGTGTGCGTGTGCGTGCGTGCGTGCGTGGGTGTGTGTGTGTGTGTGTGTGTCAGATCCAACAAGGCATCCGAATTCATTCGAGGGGTTGAGAAGGGGGAAACACATCGACAGGAAAGACAACATGTTTTTCACACCCCAAAAAACGACAGGGGGTTTTCCCCTGGTCGATTTTCCCTTAAGAACAAATTCGACGGGACACAAAACCGTTCGCCTCAACTCGACAACTCGTTCATGGGACACCTGGGATGAGTGGCTCGCGATGAAGGTTGGACACCGAATGCGTAGCGAAGGGTTCCCGTTTATCCGGGCGTCTGGGCGCTGGATCTGTGTTTGCGTCGTGTGTGTTGCGTGTGTGTTATTTGTGTTTGTGTGGAGCTCAGTGACCCACAGGAGTTGGTGTTGAGTGCTGGCTTTATAGCAAACCTTTCCATTCGTTGCTTTGCCCCGGCAGGAAAGGAAGTTTAGTATGCAGCGCTACGCTGCGCTCTGTAGTTTCCACCCATAACAATGAAAGGCTGTCAAGAACAAGTTTTCGTTCCGCGATGCAGTGGGACCGTGGGACCATACAGTGGGTGGAAAACTCTGTTGCCCTATTGACAACCCCACAGTGTTTGTTTGGCAAACCAGACCTTTGGGCTGTCCGACCCCTCGACAAGTGCAGGTCTGGGCCAAAGTGCCTGGCAAGCCATTTTCCTTTGTCGACCTTCGCGGCTGGGTTGCAGTCCGCGGGTGGTGAGCGGAGGCCTGCGGGATCTTCACAGGCAGAAATCGCCAGAAACCATGGCAGCAAACGTGTAAGAATCTTTTCACGAGGGCAAAGGCAAAGAGTTGTGTTCTCAGGATGCATCCCGGCATCTTTGCTCCTCAACTATCAACAACAGCCCTATTTCGATGTGGAGATAGGGTTGGAGTCCGATAGCAAACGGCTCTTGTTTGCCAATAGAAAGCGGGAAGCAAACAAGGCAGAGACAGCTGCACGTCAGACCAGCAGCGTTGCGGAGCAAGAGGTCCAGATGAAGATTTTTGGGACAGAGATGATGTTTGCATAGACTGGTTTTCTGGATTCGCCCGATGAATGGGGAGGCGATCAACGCCTTTCTTCGTGTCGTTTCAGTGTCCACACCACGATTTGTCTCGCTCCTTTGTCCCGACGTGCCTCGCCTCTCGGGCCTCGGGTCCCTCGGGTCCTTCGCCTGCGTCCCCTTTACGGGAACACCGCGGTGGGTTTGGGTTTTTCTCTGCAGAAGAAGAAGGAAACGAAGGGGTGCAGGGCACTGCGTAGGGGCCCTTCACCGGTAGCCGCTAGCCATCGCGCCAGGAAGGCGATCGTCTGTCTTTGAGAACGAGGATGCTACTCAAGCCTTAAACATCCTCCAAGAAACACCTCACATGTTTTCGAATGGTTTTCCTACTGATCCACACTGCATGTCTATCTTTTTCACTCCTCTTTCACCTACTTCAACTTGCTCGCTGGGATTTCCGCCCAGGTTGGAGCTGTGTCGAAGCTTGTTCGGGGACACCTTCCACAAGAGCGCTCCAGGTGCGGGCTGGGGTGGGGCATGGTGCAATGAGTTTTGTTTTTGTTTTTAGCATATTTATAACATCAGAAACAAGGACACCGTCTGCATCAATCTTCCAAATGTGGCTCAGATTTTGGCTGGGCTGTTGGACTTGGTTTTGGGCTGTGCTTCCCTATCGTTTTTCCCCTTAAAACCCGAGTTTGGCTGGGCTCGGTCGCCGTTGGCCCCGTGGACCACGAGTTTCCCCGGGTGAGCCGGAGCCACCGGAGCCGAGCGACGGCTCGGAGGGAGCTTGGAGCTCGGAGCTCGTTCCCCAACCCCTTGCCAGCACATGCCAGCACTAAAGTTAAAGATCTTTGGATGATATGATCTGCACCAAGAGGGATGTTTTATCGAAAAAGCTTGACTCTGTCCTTGTCCCATTCTTGTGGTGTGCTTTTCTCCCAGCAGCAGCTTCCCAGACGAGACAGCCCGCACCGGTGTTGCGTCCACCGAACAAAACCGAGGTTTTCTGGCCTTCAACTTCTGCTTGTGGGTCCTTTCCTCCAACCTGGCCACCTTCACTAGGCGTGGACGACCCATTTGCGTGGTTGTCCTCGTTCATTCGGCAATCTTCACTGGTTGGGTCGGACATACGGACGTCCATGACCTCGAGTGACGTCCATGACCTCGAGCCACCACCTCGCAAAACAGAGGATCCTCTACGATCCGGTAGAGTCAAAGAACCTGATGTCCCCCAAAAAGAGAGCTTTCTCGAGATGACGACAGGATAAATATATATATATATTTTAAATATATGTTGTTTTTTAAAGATCTCTTTTCAGGATTGTTGGCCCTTTTTGCAGACCTTCCAACTCTCGATCCCCCGCAAACTTCTCAGCAGCCCTATCCATCTTCATGTGGATCCTCTTCTCAAACTTCTCCAATGGGTCGCAACCTCCCTGTTTTTGCTTCGGCACCTCCCTCGCCTGGGCCAGATCGGCCGCGCAGCGGCTCTCGGGCGGCGAGATCGCGGCCGCGGAGCCGACCAGGGGTAAGTGAGCAAAAGACCCAGCTGCGGTGCAGAGGATGCGTGGAGGGACCTTCGAAGGACCGTTGGATTGAGAGAGACCGACACATGTGACATGGAGGAATTCGGTACAGGAAGTACCGAGCCTTGGACGAAGATGACGTTCATTTAGAGGGCCCTCTCAGAGAGAGAGAGAGAGAGAGAGAGCGCCCCTCCATGTTTCAGATCCCAAGGGTTGTGTCACATATTGGCTCCGTCAGGGGAATTTCTGGCTGTGATGGCTGAGACAGACAGGGACCGTCATGAAGATGGCTGGCCAAGATTGAATACCAGATTCTTCAGGTTTTGGTTGTATTGGCATGTCTTGCCCAATTCCACTGGGGCGGGGGTTTCACCGTGAATGTTCGGAGAGACGGTGAGGGAGCTAGGCGGAACGAAGAACGGACGGGTGAGCCCCCGCCGGATGCGTGGCACCGAAGAAGAGCCCTTCATCCCTGTTTCCAGGGCTGCTTTACGGATTTGACACCAAAGACCAGGTCAAGCATTTAAAAACATGGGTTTGTTTCGTGCCGTGGAACATCCCGTGGCGTTTTCAGTTGGCTCGGTCAAAACCAAAACGCGACATGAAAGAAGAGGTCAGCGCCACGGAAGTGGACTGAAGACGTGCCATGAGCCCTCCCTATCTCCTTGCAGCGAAATGGGAAGAAACTCTTCATCTTCAAAGAAAGACGTCGCCCTCGCCCTTCAGACTCGTCGGCACTCACCGACCCGGCCGAGTTTCTATCTCTATCACAGCCGCTGCTAGATCCATCTGCTGGGGTCGTTGGTCTCACACCGAGCGGAACCCGAGCGGAACCGATCTCCCAGCGATGGGAGCCCCTCCGGGCCCATGGTGGAGGCCGGGAGAAGGGGTTCAAAACGCCGCGACCGTTCGGGTCCGGTCCAGGGTGGGGTTTTTTGAGCGACCCGATCCAGGTGAAGGGCGTGGGGAGAGGGGGATGGGGTGGGGAGTGGTTTGTTTCTTGCTTTGGGGTCAATCAGATTGCGATTCTGCTTGGAATCGATTGAACGATCAATCTTTCTATGTACTCAGTCCCAGAAGCCTAGAGTCCTCCGCATGTCATGAACCTTCATGCGATGAACTCCACTTTTGGGGTTCCCAATGATTGGATGGCGAAGAACTTCGCCCCAGGCACTCCGTTCCGCACCCCGTTTCTCAGGTAATTTGGCCGCCCAGCCGTGTCCGCCCGCCGGGGAGCCTTCGGGGCGAGAAGTGAAAGCAACAGAACATGGGGCTTTGAGGGCTCGCTGCATGACGCGAGGTTCATCGAAGACTTTCAACTCTACTTGGCTGCCAGTTGAGGATTCTACGGATGCCTTTGTAAAGATCCCCAATTCCAAAGAAGAACATCAGTGGCATTTTCTGATAGGGTTGGCCTAAGTACTTATTCCAGGGGTTCAGGGGACCTGTGGGTTGATGGGTGGTCTGGTAGCCATCCCCGATATTTTCGGAAGAGGGCGGCAATCATCTCCAATTCTCCTGCCATGCTCAGAACCTATGCGTCCAGCATCCGGACCCATGGCCAGACCGGCGCAGTTGGAGTCGTTCTCGTTCGCGCGGTTGGGTCGGAGACTTTCGCTGAAGCCTCCGCAAAGCGCATGCCTTTACACCCACCAAGTCTCGCCAGTCTCGCCTCATTCATACCGGGGGGGGCATTCCTGACCAACATGAGCACCTCACCTTACCAACTCAAACCCCCAAAGAAGACCCTTTCGATGGTCTCCGGAAATCGAAGTGTTCAGTCACCGACCGCTTGTGTCGGTCACTGACCGCTTGTTCCGCCTGGTTGGCTGCGGGCGTGCTGAGGGGCGTGCTGCGTGTGGTCTTTCAATGACCCTATTGTCTCCAAACTCCATTCTCCACCAATGAGCTGGGCTCTTTTCTGTCCTGGACACCATGTTTGAGCACGAAAGCCCATGCGAGCTTCTATGGGCAAAGCATCACTTGCAGTCAGTGCAAGCAAGAAACAACGATGGGACAAGGAGGACAAGCTCCAGCACAAGGTGCAAATGTTCGTGCCGATGGAGTTGCACAACGTTTCATGCGCATGATGCAAGCGTTTGTAGCTAGAATGCTATTAAATACTACTACTACTGTATATATAACATATTCAGGTCTTCGCACAGGATGTTCCCAGCCAATGAACACTGAACACCATTACATTTTGGTTCCATGGCCATGACTGAGGGCTACCAATCTAGTTGCATTGCACCAATTTGGTTTGCTGACTCCCAAAAAATATGTCACACCTTTTGGCAGTGCAAAAACGCTGCTAAAAAGGGTCCTGGACGTCAAGAAAACTCGTGAAAGCACAGCATACGTCAACAATTCGTCAAGTCTGCCGGAAGGTCGTACCTTATTCAGACGCATGCTCAGACTCAGGCTCCTACATTGGCATCGTGCCTACAGAGCTTGATTGTTGACAGAGACGTCGACGCAGTGTGTTTGCGATGACTGCCGTCTGACTCATGATTGCTGTCTCACTCTTCCTTCGGCTCCGATTGCCTAAACCGAGGCCGAAGACGTGCAGGCTCTGCCGACAAAAACATGTCCAGACCGTGGAAGCTCCACACGGCCGCACTGGTGAGGCCCCCCCCCACACACGGCCAAGGAGCGGCGTTGACCGCAATCGGGGACCGCACTGGTCAGTTGGTTGACTTGACCTGAGACCTGACTGTGAGGATCACGCCAGTCAAACAGGCGGAAGGTCTGTCCTCTGGTCGTTGGAGCCTCTGCTTGTCGTTGTCTGGCATTTCGCAATGTTCTACTGCCCGTTGGTGCCACGGAGCTGGCTGTAGCTGCAGAAGGATGCGGAGTCCATCCTTCCAGTTTGGATGAGGAGACTCCCGGAAGTTTGCTGGTCACAGCCCTTGATGGCCTCGTTGTGACTCGTTGTGGCAATCAACCCTTGCATTACAAAAACACTATCAATGGCCGCGCTTATGGAACATGTTGCTTGAACAATGGGTGAGAACAGTGACACAAACAGGCGAATTCTCGGCTCTTTCTTCAGCACTACTGTCGAAAACGACGCGGCACGAAACCAATACATGTTGCACATCGAGGACGTGGCGAAAGATCACTGACTGAGAGAGAGAGAGAGAGAGCGGACAAATGGGTATCGTAAAATCGTAAATGTTCAGGTGTGATTGTATGTTGGGTCACTTACATATACAACTTTCAGAATCTTTTTGTTTCTGAAAGCCCAAATTAAGACTGAAGACTTTGGTACCACCGAAGCGAAGGAACTTCTTCCTCTTCGGGTCACCTGATCAGTAGGCTTTTTTTTAAATCAAGATCTTGGATTCGGCCATGTGATCAGACATTTTTTTGATCTAAATTCTGAGATTCCAAGAACCACTGTTTCAATGGTTTTTGTCAAACAACCCTTGTTTTACTAAGGCTTATTTACACTTTTTTACACTACAAAGCCAGGTCAACCACTCTTTTCAATGGTCTTTGAAGGCTAGGGTATATATACCTTACAAACCAAAACCTGAAGAAATCTTGAGGTATAGTAAAAAGCGTCGCAGGTCTATTCACTAAAACCCGAGGTCTATATACCTTCAATTAGTTCCCTCCTTCGCTGCCTGGCCAGGCTTTCACGGGCGGCGGAGAGTCCGGCGGCCTTGGTGGGATGCGCCAATGCGCAGGGCTCCGTTGGTTCGGTACGGAAGAAGAGCCATCGAATTGGACCCCAAGCACTGGGACCTATTCCGACCCCACGCAGCCGTTTTGCATGTGTTTTTGTGAATCACACACCTGACCCGCCCCTTTTGTCCGAGTGGATGAGGGCGGTGGTCGCATGCGGCGAGTTTCAGAGGTGCATGACAGGCATCTCCGCATGGCCAAAGACCAGTCCATGCCCATGGCGTGGGGGTTCGAAACCTATTAGGCCTACATCAGCCGAATCATTTGCCCGGACCCTGAAAACCACTGGTTTGTAGGTTTGTAAAGGAAAAAACATTTTCAGGGTGCCAAAACCACAGGGTCCATAGTGAGTTCATCAGGCGTGTTTTTTGGGGTTCCGCCCCCCCCCCCCCCCGAGACTGCCCAGGTGCCGGCGTACGTGTCGCTGGTGTCGTCTCCCCGACGGGTGGAGGGGGCAGCAGCGGAGCGAGCGGAGCGTGGTGGTGGCAGCTCGGTGGCAGGGAGGCCTCGCAGGTTGGGCGCAGAGAGCCAACGAGGTTGTGCGCGTGCGAAACCGTGCATCCGGAGGGAACAACCTTGCATCCGACATCCAGAAGCAAGGACATCAGTGTCCGGAAGTCCCAAAAAGTGCTAAGGACGCTTCTGCAGGTGGCTTCTGCAGGTCGTTTTCGCGGTCGGGTCTGACGTGCATCGTTGTAAGGTCGGACGTGCGTTCAGAGGTCCGGAGTCATTACCTTCCCGAGGTCCCGAGTGGTGAAGGAGTTGGCTCCAAGAGGTGAGGTAGGGGGGGCTGGTAGACATTCTGGATGGTTATGAGTTATGAGGGTAGGTCCAGGAACAACCACCAAGTGGTTGTCACCAAGAGGTAGGGGCATTCATTGATCCATGTGTTTCACCTTGGCCTCCAACACGTTAAGCCTCGAGGCCTTAGCAGCCTGAGCGAGGCTGGGACGAGCGGAGAGAGTGGAGTCAGCAGCGTCGAGGGTTTGTTTCACCATGGTTTCACGGCATCCGAAGGCATGGGGGTCAAGTGGGGCAAAGACATGAAGGCAGCGCCGACCTTGGTAGGGTGTAGGGGGCTGTCCATATGGTCGCTGGCTCTGCCAAAAATGGGAAGACTCCTCGGTCAACCGCGCCCGGTGCACAGCGATTCGGAAGGGGTTTTGGAGATGTCCTAGGGTCCTCACTCGAAAGAGCAATCCTTTTTGGGGGCCAGAAGCGACGTCCAGGGAATTCCTCGACTCGGATCCAAATACCAGGACCTTCCAACAGGTCACCACTTGAGACCTCTTCGGGCCCACTAACAACCCTCCATTTCGGAGACCTGTAGAGTTGGGTGCTGGGTTCTTTCAGTCCAACTTCGGTTGTTCCACATCGCCGGAACCGGGCCAATCCCTGAGGAGGTTTTCCCCAGCTCTCTCCGATCTGGACTTCGATCCGTCAGGACGACTTTGGACCACTTCACTCGGACATGCTGCTTACGGTTGATCATTTCGTCCATCTGATTCCATTTGTCCATCTGGAGGAAGGATAGGGGGGGTGGATGTGACCCACTCGCTGGATGGGACGAGCCAAACGAACCACCCAACTCCAGTCGCGACTGGTCGAGGGGTCACTGGATGGGAAGCTTTTCGAGACGGGTCGTCTCAGTCGGTCGTGCTCCCGTCGGTCGACACGGTTTCGCCAGGTGAATGGTCTTACAGCTGAGGCATCCTGCGCGGTCGGGGACCGAGAGAAGAGGGGTCACAGGATCAACAGCAGCATGCTCACCTGGTGACAGGCTCATGGAAGAAAGACCCTGCCGTATGCCACACCGAACTGCCGAACTGGCAACCGTTTTTTCAAAGGAGACCGAGAAGGAGTGCAAGAGTCGAAGCCTTCAGTTCAAGAGTTCAACCGTTCACCTGCCGCGGAGCGGCCGAAAAAGGCCACCGAGAAGGGGTGTGGTGTGACAAGAATCCTACCCAACTGGACAACGAGTGTGTGGTCTTCTGATCTTACCCAACTGGGCTGAACGATTTTGGTGTGGTGAACATTTGTCGAGCCACTACACTTCTTGAAGGCATCACGGTTACGTGGAGTGAACACCACCTCTCTGGAGTTGAGGGCCATGCCATCGAAGATGATTCCGCAAACTCAAAGATATTTTTGATACGGTGGCCCTTATAAACCACCGACATTGGGAGGACCCCAACTACTTTTTCGTCTTCCCCCGGTGCGTCGACGCGCAGCAGGCCGTGCGTTTGTCCAGGCCGCGCCATGTTCCGCACGTGAGCAGCGTCGATTGGAGATGGAGCGGGAGCTGTGTGAGAAGCCGGGGGAGCCCGGTGGCGGAGGGTGGAGGGATCCTGGTCATGCGTCCCTGTCGTGTTCCGAGGGATACTTTCAGATAGAAAGTCCTCCAAGAGATCTGGTTTGAGGAGATTTAAGGAAAGAATCTTAATATGATAATAGGATGATCTTGACTTACGAAGACTGCAACTAAGACACCCCTACGAGGCTCAACTAACCCCCACTCTCCCTCGAAGCCTGGAAGAAGAAGCAGCAAAACGGCCTATCAAACTCGGACTGCCCTCCGCTCCTTGAAGTCATGGACTGACCCACACTCCGCCCGGTGAAAACAACTCGTCGCCACGTGGGGTGGTCCCTCCCCGCATGCGCCGGGGGTTCGCGGGACCGGGAACCGACGAAGAAGGAGGGGTTGTCCTGATACGCAGTGGCGGCTAGGGGGTATGCTAGGGGGTATGGTAGGGAGAGGGTGATCGACACAATTGTCGCGCTACAGCAACTAGACTTCAGGACCCTCCTGTCGGGATGTCTATTTATAGCCCCTGTTGCTGTTAAGGGGTATCCATTAACCACCCAACTCCTGGGCGTGCTGGTAGAGACTTCAGGTGTTTGAGTCTAAACCTGGATCCTTCAAGATGGGTGTCTCCTGTGAAAACACCAAGGTCACCGCCTCAGGTGTTGGAACTCACCACCTAACCGCCGGGGTCTGAAGACCTGTTGGAAGGTCCAAGTGTACATTCCCCATTCCCCATTCGAAGTCCGAAGACTCTACTATATATTATATGCATTTTTACCTATGTGAAGTCAAGGGCACGCCTCTTAGTCAGGTCCCCTAAAGTTACTAAATACTAAAGACCCTTCTGTTCCTCGTCTACGACTCTGCCGCACCGGCGTTTCATTGGGTCTCCACCGGTGAATCACCCTCGCGGTTCTCCGGGGTTCTCCGCGGAATCAGGCTGGGCCTGCAGTCTCCAGAGGCCGCTTCGGCTTTCTTTGGGTTCGACGGGGGTGCGGCTGACCCGGTGGTCGAAAGATTGTGGATGAGCTGTTGGTCTGAGGCGGTCTGGGTCCGATCATCGCAGTCGGGTCATTCCCCCCGTCTGGAGACATGTGCGGACACCCAAGGTGTGGTGCTTAGGCCAGGCTTTGTATGGGGTGCCACAAGTTTTGGGGGCGTTGAACCAAGACGGGTGAAGAGATGGGGGAGACGGGCTGAGTTGTTCGTTTCATGTCGCCGAGGCTGCCGCCGATTTGATACGCTGGCTCTGGGGCGGCTTCCGGGTCGGTTTTGGTGATTCTGTAAATCCATTTTGGTTGCACCCCTGTTTTGTCCCGTCACAGGAGTGAGTTTAGGATTTTTGGGCTTCCATTGGATAGGGCAGATCTGGTAGTACAGGCGTTGCTATGTTCCCTTGCTGGGAACTTTTTTTGGTTTGCCCCATCTGATTGCAAGCCACTTCCCATTGGTCCTCTCTAGGGACGACTTCTTTTTGCTTTTGGAGTTCTTACTCACATGGATCACCTGTGGCGGCCTCGAGTGGGGCATCCTCGAGTCTTCTGCGTCTCCAGGTAACGGAGCTGAGCCCCAGCCCCCCAAAGCGCCAGGCATGGAACCTGAGCGCCAGGGGGTGCGGGATGTTTCCCTCGTGCCTGCGTTCTCTCGCTAACGCACGTGTTTCCCATCAGTGATAGGAGATGTCTGAAACCCTTCAGAGCGGTGAAACCCATCCGTGCCGATTCACCTCAGACGGTTGGATTGCCGTGGTCAGTGATGGCCCGTAGGCCGGCCCATGCGCTCGCTGATGCCGACCGGTTGGCGTGAGACCGGTTGGTTGACGGACCGGCTGTTCGTTGCGGATGACGGATCGTGTAGGTTACCTGTACAGGGCACAGGACGCATGTCTGGCGAGTCCTACAACACCATGACCCCTGCAACAGCTGTTCAGATTCCTTACAGGGAGGTGGATTCTCGCCATCATCGGCTCAAGCTGTGCTTAGGCCGTGGGGCGGTTGAAAGAGGTTGAAAGCGATCCAACGAATGTGATAAGGACTATTACAGGACCCAACCAATCTCGAAAAGTTTTGAATCTCTAAATGATGTTCTCCCTACCTTCCCATGCGCTCGAATTCCTATCACCCAGTCCTGCCAAACTCGGACTGGCACGTGCCCTGGGTGCCTAGTTCAACCAGATTTCTCCAGAATAACAGAGTCAGGTGATGAAACTCGGTTTTAGGATCACCCTCCACACATGTCCAGTTTCTTCCTTCAACTCCGAGCCGACTCCCAGACCAGAGAGCGACCCCGACCGGCCATGCCGACTCTGGTCGCTCGCACCGGTCGCTCCTCCACCGCTAACGCCGATGCTCCGGGCTTTGCTGACGCTGGGCGACAGCGGTGACCGCGGGGGTGGCTGGAGGAACCGGGTCCCGAGGGACCGGAGCAACCCCCATGTCTTTCAGGCGAGGGTCCTGGTTACCAGCTCGGAACTGTCCCCACCTGAACGAGCAGACGCGCAAAGGACTTGTAAGAAGTCGAGTAGATGGGCCGAACCATGTTTTGCTTGGAAAGGACTCTGATTTGGGGCTCATTGTCTTTCTGAGCGTTGACTCCGGGTCCGTCTCCCAGGAAAGCTTCAGAGCTCTTCAACAGCTGGCTGGTGACCTTGGCAGAATTGGATGAGACATGATGAGACCCATTAAAACGCCTGGCTTAGATTGAATTTTTGTAGATTCAGCAGTCTTGTTGTTTATGACTTCCTATGGTCTTGGACCCTGAGCGACCTCCTTGTCACGTCACGTAAGCCGAAATGGGGTCTTTTCGGATCTTTTCGTGCCAAAGCAGGGGTCAAGCGGGTTCCAAGTGAATAGGTAACAAGGGTTGCAACGTCTTTGCCCAGACTTCCTTGGGGTTGGCCGCCCAGCCTTCTTCATGCGAGTGGATGAACTGGGCCTTGGCCTTCGGACGGTCGGTCGCTCCTGCGCTCCGCACGCGCCCACGCGCCCACGGTGGAGCCACCGAGGAGGGGCCCTATGGGACTCTGGTGAAGGTGGTCTATGTGAGCCGCTCGCCCGTCCCGCGCGCCTCCGTCCGCGGGTCGAGCATGGGCTCGCCCGTGGAGTCCGCGGCCGGGGCGTTGGATGTCGTGGGGAGGCCGTTTGGGTTTGTGCTGCACGGTGCACGGGCAGAACATGCTTCTACCAAAGCGCATGGATCAATCAGGCACAATTTGAAGCGCAACAGATGGATCCTGTATTGCATCCATACTTGAAGGCACTTGACAGGCAGCACAGAGGATAGCTGCATCGTTTCTCTTGGTTTTAGGCCCTTTTAGGCCCCTTCCGGCCACCGGGTTCCTCCACTGAGTTCCACCGCGTCGACCTTCTCGTCGTCGGGTCGAGGCCTCTTCTTTGGCGCCGGGGTGCTGGGGCTCTATGCCCTGTCCAGGCGGGAAACCCCGGTCGAGCGGCTGCAAACTGCACCCAAATCGGGGCATGGGAAACAACACCGTGCACTATGGCGCGAGTCTGCACGAGTCCGGGGGTGAAAGGGTGAGGAGCGGTACCTGTCTTTAAGAGGAAGAGCTTGGACCACTTAGGACCGGGTCGCTGGGGAGGATCGGCATGGAGCTCCCGACTGCTTGGACTGCTTGGACCGCTTTCTATCAGATCATTTTCCGGTTGAAGCGAAGGTCCTGAGTTGATGGCAGTTGATCATTGAGTCCTTTGTGACCGTTTCGGTCTTCCGTTGTCCGTTGTTCCGGATCCGTGGTGAACTTGAGCTGGGTGAGACGAGACTGAACCTGGGTGAGACCAGCTGGGGCTGGAAACAGCTGCAGCTCAGCGACCACAGGAGCTTGGAGTCCCTGGCCGCTGAGCATGACGCCAAGGTCTTGGAGGCTGGTGCCCACGCGATGCGGGCAGGGTCAGTGAGGTGGTTCTCGGCGGCATGTGATTCTGAAGGGGCTGAATTCGATCCATAGAGTGGTGCTACAGGTCAGACCCAGCAAGACCTAGCATAGCTGGAGTGACTCGTCTGCGGGACGAATCCCTCGAATCTTCCAACCCCGTCCCTCCGAAAAGAAGGGGGGTCCCGGGTTCGAACCCCACCGCCGTACGAGCAAGTGCAACCGCGAGAAGAAGAAGAAGAAGAAGAAGAAGAAGAAGAAGAAGAAGAAGAAGAAGAAGAAGAGGAAGAAGAGGAGGAAACAAAAGCCCCACAAACCAATCCACCACATTCCACCACAAAAAAGATAACATTTCAATAAGAATACAACACAAAGATATCTCCACAAGAGACAAGAATAAGAACCTTCCTATCAAAAGGACCTGGGGAGCACTGCAACCAAGTCTCGTGTAGGAAGGCGACGGCAGCCACCCAAGATGCGGCCAAGTCCAACTTGGCTCAAAAAAACTTATGTGAAGATTCATAGGGGACAGTCATGTTTAATGTAGGGAGTAATGCCCTCAACCCCCCATGTGAACAGATTCTACAATCCAAATGGGGTGCTCTATTCATGGAGAATCAAGAGTCTACAATTCAGAGTTCTCTTCCTTTTGGGTCGGCCCAGTTTTGAAGGACCATTCTTTCGAGAGGCTCACGTGACGGATCCCTGAACTCCGCGTCCATCCACGCGGGGTGCCAGGTGCTGAAGGCTGCGGAGCAGACGGGAGAGGCGGAGACCCAGGAGGCGGGATGGGAGGCGGGATGGCCCCATCCACCGGACTCTCCACATCGACAGGTCCTACGACCGGAGAGGTCAAACAACGTCCGGAAATATCCTCAAACAACGATTCACAGAGCAACTTGGAAGTCGGTTGTGAAGAACGTCCCATGTGGTAAAACAATGTAAAAAACACACTTTCACGCTCATGGACCCCCCTAAGTAGGGACCGTACCCTCATATTGAGTGGTCCGGACCCGCAAATCCCTATGGTTTTGAGGTACCAAGGCCTGTTTGGAGCGTTTGGGTTGAAAGAATCTCCTACCTGCTTTTGAAGTTGGGAAAACGAATGTGTTCCAGCTGGGTCGCTGGTCATCCTGGATGGGTTCCCCTACCTCTCAGGAGCTGAAGGACACCGAGGACACTGAGGCGCCCGGTTGTGGATGTGGTGGGCATCAGGTTGCCATGAAACGGCTCGTTCGGAGCAAGGTCGACCTCTGGTCTTAGACTCCTCCTTTTTTCCCTCAGACTCTCAACACCGCAGGAGGGGCGGCAACACGGCGGTGCTTTTTTGGAAGCTGAAGCCGGGGGAGAGCTGCGTGACCTCCGGTTCCACACTGCCTTTGACCCCCACCCGGTTTGGTGCCAGCCGAGTCGAGCGGGAGCTTCCCCAGGAGCTGCGGAAGCGGGGCGGTGCTCGCGGTGCTCGCGGTGCTCGCGGGGCGTGACCTCTTTGTGACTCGGGCGGCAACGAATTCGCGGCGCTTTAGATCGGAGTTGGGAGTCAGGTGTCATCGGTCATCGTTGTCGGTTTTGTGCCAAGAGTTTCAGCAGATGTAAACAGGCAAGTTCGACGCCGAGGATGTTTGATGGAATTGGATGGAATGTTTCATTTGACCCCTGTGACTTGGGTGGATTGCGGACTTTCCTTCCCTTCTCGATGCTACATATCCTGAGGACTGCTTCCACTCAGTGAATTGAATTCCTGAAGAAGTTGGCAGCCCTCAGCGGCCGCAGTGAGGATGGGACGCTGGTGAAGGACTACTGCGGCCGCAGGACTACGCCCGGCGGATCTCTCTGAATGAGCCTTTTTGAGGTGGAAGGAGACCGAGCGGCCAACGTTGACTGTGGCACCGGCTGTGACTTCACCGGCTGAGCTGCCAACGGTTGGCCCCCTTTGAACAGGGCTTCTAACCGACGGCGTCCGGTGCTCACGAGGTGAAGCAACCAGCCCACGGCGCTCGACCAGGACTCCGGTGCAAAAGGGCCGCTCGACCTCCGGTGCGGTGGGGGGAGTTTGAGCGTGAGACGGTGAAGGTCTTTTCCGGGAAAAGACAACCATGCGAGCCCCTCCTCATCGAAGCAGCTGTTTCTTTGTGATTTCCAGGTGTTCAAGGGGGGTGGATCTCACGAGCATGGACGCCCAGTCCGCTGGATGTTCCACCCGAGCTGCGATCCGCCAGCAAGAATGCCAAGGAAGCAAGGAAGCCGCTATTATAGATGGTGTGGATTGGTTTGGAGCCCCACAAGCCGGAAATTCTGGAGCACTCGTTTCGGAGGACGTTCCACTGGATTCGGGCGAAGGGAGGACTTGCTTCGCGGCCGACGTGGACCCACATGGACTTGGGGGAGGAAACGTCACCGCCTGCGAAGTATATAAAACTCTGAAACCCTTGGATGATATGCTCACTCGAATTTCACCATCCATGAGGTGGTCTGGGTTTTCATTCCTCGCAGGCGCGGCCCACGTCGGCGGGAGCGCCGAAGCGGCCCCCCAAGCCCAAGCCGCGGGGGGAGCCCAGCTGGGATCAGGTCGCTGCCTCTGTGGGTCCTGGTGATACCAGGACCCAGAGTGTAGGGTGGGGTGGTGAAGGGACACCCCGAATCACCTCTTTGGGCTAATAGAAACCCCGAACAGGGGGTCCTGGTAGAGGGCCATTGTGGAGGAATTAGACTGTCCTGGGACCTGGTATGGGCCGTGCGATCAACATACTGGGTCCTAAAGGGACCTAGGGGGAGCTGCGATTCCACCAAGGCCGCGTCTGACATCTTTTCGCCGGGTTTGAAGCAATGTATAAACATTGTGACAAGCTTATGACAAACTCCAAAACTGATTTACTGTATAGTAAGACTTATTAAGTGAGTAGCCGAGCGGCTGTAGTAGACAGGTCTTAAGACCCGACCGCGGTCTAGGATTCCAAGTCTCAAGAATCAGAAGGAGGGGCAGCACACGGGGACGCGTTGGGGAGGGCGGGTGGCCATTTTGGGGTCTTTCTCGAGAACTCCCAAGACTTCGCGCCCGTGGAGAGGGGGGGGGTGTAGACCCCACCTGGAGCAGGCACAGGCCACTGCCCTCGGAGGCGTGGGTTGGGTGGGGCCAGTGCGAATGGGGTTTTGGGCTCGAAGATTGGATCAGCCCCTGAGGAGTGCAGGTGAATGGGGGCTGCAGGCCTCAAGAATAGGGTCTCATGCACACTGGTCCGCAGGGGAGACAAAGGCTCCTTAGGTCGTACAGGCTGCGGATTCTGTGCTTCGTTGACTGGAGTCATACAGTAGGCAACTTCATGAAAACCAAGGCTGCTTCATACAGGCCGCGGAGTCATAGAGTCTCCTTCATACAGGCTGCTTCGTTGACTGGAGTCATCGGCCAATTCATGAGAACATCAAGAGATGCCAACGGACTCGGAGTGTCCAACTGAAGGTCTTCGCTTTTGCTTTCGGTGTTCGGGTGCCTGTCATGTGGATCGATCCACCTTTTGAGGAACCTTTCTGTACGCATTCCATGTCATGGTGCAGCTGGAGTGATACAGAGTGACCCCTGTTGATCACAGACCACCCCAAACATATCCAAACATGCCAGCACCTTCAAAGGGGTCTCCAATGGAAGCCCCTACACTACTAAGGGACCTCCAGCCAGGACAACCCTTTGAAGGTCCAGGTGGTTTTCTTCCTTCATCCAGAGTCTTAGGGCTCCGCTCCGCTCCGGATCACGGCGCCGCTCGGGATCCGGGTGATGACCGTGGCGTTCCGGTTGACCCCGACCGTTTTGCGCCCGTTGGCATGGTGTTTCAGGTCGGGCGCGGATGGAGCCAGTCTGGGGATGGGGAGCCAATGATTCACCCCACTGGGAGAATCACTGATATCACTGGCTCCAAAAGAAGGATAGACTTGGTCCCCCGGCCCGCGGCCCGCGGCCTTTTCTTTTTTTTAAAGTGGGGTACTCTCCTTGGATGAGAGGCTGTGCGACCTGAAAACCTTGGATGAGAGGGCTTCCTTCGGATCGGCCCGCCGCCGGAGGCCGAGTTGCGCCTGCCGCTGTCGGTGGAGGAGCAACCGTCGACCCGTTGTCCCCGAGCGACGTGGAGGTGGCCCGATGACCGAAGGGGGTGAAAAGGAACCTCCAAGAGAGGTTGAGAGACCTGAACTTGGACCCTGGTCTGTGGTACATATGGGCTGGGCGATGGATGGAGCTGTTCAACCCTCTCTAGGCTCCTTGACTGGATTGACGTTTCAGTGGCGCCCCAACCACGGGGCCAACAATTGGCCAATTCCGTCGAACCCTGGGTCAGCGTCGCTGGAGCTCCGATTGGATGAGTATTGGATGCTGCGATGCAGCACTTTGAAGAAGAAGACTCAGAGAGACGAGGTGAACCTATAGCAGGGTGAAATGCAACGGGCCACGGGTGAACAGACCCCCCACGGGCGCCCGACGCCTTGGTTCGAAGCCGAAGAACCGCGAGGAGCTGCCGAGCGTGAAACGCTGGAGGAGCGGCTTGATGGCCTCGTGACTGGGGCGCACTGGAAAGGACTTTGACTCGGTCCATGGGGCGGGAGAAGGAACAGGCCGTGTGAGACCGGGGTGAGAGGTTGGTGTGGTGGGTTGGCGCGAGGTACGGCGCGGGTGATGGGAGCTTGGTGGTGTTTTTTTCCCTTCACTCCAGAAGAGCGAGCGACGGATGGGAGGAAACACCTGCAAGACATGGAGGACGGATGGTCCAAGAGGGATGCGAAGCGGGAGATGTTCTTCAGCTAGGTTTTGGTGATTTCATATTCAAGAATTGTAACCATGTGCACCAAAAGAGATATCATATATACAGTAATAATCATTGCATGAACATGTAACATCAATGGAACCTATTTTCCGTGGCCGCCTGGACGGGCTTAGGAGTCGTTCAGCTCTGCCTCACGTTACGGCGGAAGCAAGCCGTTCAGGGCGGGTTTCCAGGCGGAAACGTGTTTCTTTTCGGAACCAAGGAAGGAAGGAAGGGAAGGGAAGGGAAGGGAAGGGAAGGGAAGGAAGGAAGAAAGAAGGGAAGGAAGAAAGAAGGGAAGGAAGAAAGGAAGGAAGGAAGGAAGGAAGAGATATTGTGGGGTGTCACTGTCACCAGCTGGTGAGGGTGTCTGGCTAGAGGTGATAAGATGTTTTTGATTCTCATAATAACTTCTTTTTGATTCCCGGGGATAACTTTCTTTTTATCCTAACAATAACACTTTTTGATCCTGATACCCAGTGGAGATGCTAGTAACATCTAGCAACTGCTATAGCCCCTAGTATATACTTCCATTTGGAGTCAGAGTGTACCTAAGATGATTCCAGGAGAACCCCTCCGCAGCGACCGTCGACGGTCGTTCGGCTTCTCCTTGGTCCGAGGTTGTGGCCTGAAGAGAGGCCGCAGCCGTCGACGGGTGGGCGGTGCTGAAGCGAGCTGCTTCGCCCAGCGGCGCAAGAATACTCATGACTACAAGTACCAAAAGCTATTTCCAGTACAGAAGTTGTTTTGCAAACACCGATGACTTGGGACCTTGCCAGCACACATGCATGTATCACCATATCAATATGTGTATAATATATGTATATACATATATACATATTAATTACATATATAAATACATTTGTGCATTGTGCATTTGTAAAACCGCCATATGTAACCCTACCTCACAGTGCCCTGGTAGCACACTCCAAGGCCAAGAGACACAAGTTATCTTGCACGGCTTTGGAATTGGCAGCAAACATGGCTTGATCATGGGTTTTTTGGGATGATGTGAGTGATGTGGCGGAAAGCGAACCGGAGGGACACGTGATGTGAGCACCGCACGGTGACCAGGCCCGAGCTCTCGCAGACGGCTCCTTCCGGCATGTTGGGGAACTCAACCTGGTCCTGGGCGGGATGCTTTTGGAGTTCAACACGGTGCCAGTTCGGACGGAGGGAACCTCCTGCGGGCAGGTTTTGGGGGCGGTGAATGACTCTGGTGATAATTACCCTCGTTGTACTGCGATACTATAGTTATATAATTATATAGTTCCTTTTATGCTTTTGCATCCTTTTTTCAATGTGATTTTAGCACAACTCTTGCGGCGACAAGTTGCTGGGTTCTTTGAGCTAGATTGGATCCATTGTTTCTGAGCCTCACCAATCTGATTTCTGCCGTTCGGCTGTTTTCATAGAGTCATAGATAACAAGTCAGATATTGGGCACTTAAAGCGATTGTTGGTTTCTCATTTACAAGCTCACCATGTGTCCATTTATACAAACGTGTGTGATTAAGAATTGGCCTGAACCATCTAAATCCAAGCATGACCGTGTTTTGTTCGCACTAAGTCTCACCCCCAAACGCCTGATCCGCCTGCGCGTTAGAACACCACCCAGTCGGATCCGTAGACGGGGGGGGCGGAAAGAACACACCAAGAAAGCACCGACCTTCAAAGGACCTGAAACGAAAAGGGGGAAAACAACTTGAGATCTAACTGTGGCTGGGGAGTAGGTGTGTCACTCTGTGACAGAACTCCAGAGGTCAACTGGAGGTCTCAGGTGTCCCATGGACTAAGTCAGTTTGCGCTAGTACTTAGGGATCTCCATGTTCAGACACCCATTGGATGGTCCAAGGTCCCAGGTCCGGACGCACGCACTCCTCCGGTCCAGGCTCGTCGCGCTGGACGGTGAGGCCGGCGGGATCCGCGGGATCCGCGGACGGGGGATCGGCGTCCGGTGGGGGGGAGCCGCCCCTCTCCGCTATAAATGGATCATGCAACAACAAGCATCAAGGGGTGAAGGCCATGGATGACTCATGCATCTACATCTCATGGCTCGGGTCTTTGTGATATATCGAAGACTCCCATCTCACTTCTACCCATCTAACTGTTCAACACACTGCTGCTTGGCGCCCCGGGACTTGGACTGGTCCTGCGGACACCGCCCGGCGGACGAGGACTCATTTAGCAGTACTTAACTAACAGCTCTTACCATGTCTTTTGTTGCCTCTTTTTGACCATGGGCTCCTTCAAAGTCTGCTTCGGTGGAGTTCGCCCGATAGCTGCCCGCTCGCCCGATAGCTGCCCGCTCGCCCCGGCCTTGACGCTCGTCGCCCTTTGTTTGCCGTCGGCGAAGCGACCCTTCGGTTTGCGCCGTCGAAGCCCAACACCGCTTTCGGTGTGTTCACTGATCCGCCCAACGATGGCGATCGCCCAACGGTTCAGGACGGCCCAGAGGCTGGGACCGCGTTCGCGTTCGGCGGAGAGGGTGAGGTCGACCGACCTCCGACCCCCGTGACCCGACGGAGCGGGGGGACCGGTTTCGGTGGATTGTGGCCGAAAGCTGGGTGACGAGAAGGGTCTTGATCTCCGACTCTCCTGGTTCTTCAGTTCGTGCCACGAACCGAACCTGTGCAGGCCTGGACTAACCAAGTGACCGAACTAAGTTGGGCCTGGCAGAATCAGGTGGACTAGGTGACCGATCATGCTAGGACTGGACACCTTTTTGGTCCACCTGGTCCGTTTTCGAAGTCCAAAACGGACAGAGAATGCTGCCAGAACGGATGCAGCAAGGTCAGTATATCTTTGACAGACCGAAACGAGCGGCCCCCGGGTTGCGGTTTAAACGAGCCACCGCTCGTTTGAGACAACACCGAGAGGTCTTGTGTGTGAAAGTGGTTGCCCCTTATTTCTGTACATGATCCCTTTTTTTCATGTCCGGTTTGCACTTGCCTAGGTTATGGAACACGCGACGCTCTGTTTAAAACCTTTAAAGTCATGACTCATGACTGATGCACTCCTATACACTCCCTGGGTCACGTCCGCCTGGCCGATGGGGCTCCGAGATCGGAGAGCTCCGGAGCTCGGTGTTCTCCGGTTCCGACGTCCAGTTGCGAGTGGGTTTCACTCCACGTCCACGTCACCACCAGTTCCAGTTGCGAGTACTGGAACATGGGCCACCGGAACGTGGGTCGGAAGATGTCTTGGCATCGCGCCGTCGAAGAGTTGTCTTTCGGTCGAATCTCTGAGACGCCACCGGTCGTAACCGGGGTCGTAGACTTAGACTCCATATGAGGCGAGGAAAGACTGGAGGCGCTTGTAGCACTTGTGGCATGAGGCTTTTCACCCGGACTCGGAGGTTTCCAGTGATTGGACGTTCTTAAGCAGAAAGCCTGGTTCTCACTGGCGTTGGTGGACAAACGGTTGCCAATCTCGACTCAGTTCCAAATCCAACCCAGTTTCTTTCGACGTTTGGGGCGGCGCATGGACGGATGAAATTCCAGACCCAAGATGACCTCAAGAACTCAGCAGCAGAGACCCCAAACCTTTGACCAGCAGGAGAGACCGCCTAATCTGCCGCATCTGCAGCTCCAAGCCGGGCGGCGACCAAGACTTCGCGAACTTCGCCTTCGATTTTCGAAGCGCCACTTCGATGGCCGGAGTGGTGTTGCATGGGTGTCCGTGTCTTGTGACCGTGCTGCTGAGCTTGACCGTTCGCTGTGCTTGGGCTGGCCCTGCATTCCGAGGAGCCCAAACGGTGCCAGAGCCGGGCTCAGGTGTGGTACCAGCAGTACCTGGATACAGGTGGGCACGGGGAAGGGGTTGGTATCAAGCCCGGGAATCAGGAAAGAGGATTTCTTTGGCTTTCTAGGTACGTGATGGAAACTTAGTGCCCACTTTCCCTCATGCATATCGAATGAGGATGAACAAGCATTTGGGAACATAGGAGCGTCCAGAAAACGCAGGGAATGTAGGCCCTACGCCCTGAGCAAGGATGATGATATTTCCAGATATTTCCAGAACATTGAGAATCCTTCACTGAAGCAGAAGCCATGTATCTTAAAGCGCTTTAGGATGCCTTAGGGCTAAATTATGGGAGAACGAAGCAACTGATTCTTCTGTGAGGTCCTACCGTGGATACAACTGTTGGCAAGGATCCTTCGATGGTTCCGGTGCGATCAGCCTTCCATGGCGGGCGGCGGCAGCGGCCTCTGCCGCCGCAGCGTGCGCGGAGCACTGTGCCGCAGCGAAGACCTGCGAGGGCTTCGTGGTGATGCCGTCGCAGCGGAGGTGCTTGTTGCGCACTTCACGCAGCGACTTCTACCCCTGCGTGACGAACGAGCACTTTGACAGCTATGTGACCGAGAGGTGGTCCATGGCCCCCCCTAGCACGGGCGCGAAGGAGGGGGACGAGAGCACAGGGCTGTCAGTGCATGGCTACAAGCATTTGAAGCACACTCACTGCGCGGAGGAGATCGCCTCGGCCATCGATCTGGGCCCCACTCGGCCCACTGACTCCTTGCAGCGCTGCGCGGAGCTCTGCAATGCGGAGCCGAGCTGCAAAGGCTTCGTGCTGGAGCGCGCCGGCCTCGCCGACGGAGCTGAGAGCCTGCGGTGTGGGCTGAAGGCCTCGGTCGTCTTTGGCAAGTGCGATCATAGGGCTCAGAGATATGGGACCTATGTGAGGAATGCCCAGCTGGCGAAGCTCGGAGATCCCTGTTCGACGGCCTGTAGCAAAGGAATCGACCTGTGCTGTGAGGCTGATTTAGTGTGCCAGGGCAGCTATGGAAGCCCAGGGGTGTGTGCCACTCAGCAATGACTGCTGGCCATTCTGCTGATGAAGGTGTGAGTGGAACACTTCAGGGTGACGTGGGAACCCCAATGGACAATGGATGAATATGGATGAACTATATATTATATATATATATAATATAGACTCAGTTTGCTGATAAGATCATGTTGCTCTCCATTCTGCTGGAATGCCTGAAGCTGTAGAGGGGCTCCCCAAAGCACCCTGAGACATTTGTACAGTTGGTCCGCTCACACGGTTCGGTTGTACAGTCTGACATTTGAGGGCAGAAATCCTGCGCTTTCGCTTCAAAACATACAGGTCTTTTGATCCATATCGCCTTTGGACACCTTTTGTCTAGCTTGAGACCTTGTACAGGTGTGGTGATCACACAGACCGTGCACGGACACACAGACCGACGCGAGCGACAAGGTCGAGCGGGACCGTTTGGGTCGTCCGGACGACCCGTCCTCGGTGCTTTGAGCGCGAACGGTTTGGACCAAACGCCGCCGCCTCCGCACCGTCCGGCATCGGAGATCCTTCAGACGTGACACGACGTGGCGCCTGGTCGGGACACATCTGTCCTTCGAGCCAGGTTGGCCCGTTGTTCGATCAACACACCCGTCCCCCACAACGCCAGCGGCTTGAACCGGGGGTGGTTGAGGTTCAAGGGTTCAGTGTGGCCCCCCAAAACCGGAGCCCCCTTCCGGACCGTCCCGTTCCGCCCCCCCCCCCGACCGCCCGTGGTTCAGGCGTCTCCCGCCTCAGCGTCTCCTGCCTCAGGACACGCGGCATGGGTTCGTGGGGTAGCCGGTTCCATGGTCCACCCGGTTTTTTGACTTGGAAGGCCAGCCGATGACCTGAACATGGCGGTTGCTTTGGGACGGGAACAACCACGGTAGCATCGCGAAGCATGCTGTCTAGTGTGAGAGCAAGTGGGAACGACCCGATTTTCCGCTTTGTCTCACGAACTACCCCACCTGGAACCCAAGAGGAAGGGCTTGGATATGAATGGATATGCATGAGCCAACCAAACCCTATTGGTTGCATAGAGATGTCCCACATCCCACATGTTGTGGAACATACTAAAGCACTAAATCCATCTAAAACCCCATTGGAGAATCCCAGCCCGGCCGCCTTGCCGGGCCGCAAACAGTTCGACCATTCCAAAGAGGTCGGTGTGTTGCAAAACTCCACCACCAGGGAACCAACGATGAACCCTGCGTGGGTCGCTTCCGACCGACGTCGTTCTTCGGGACCGACGCACGGCTCGGCCCGTGAGCTGCGGCGCGGAGCGTCAGGAGCTGACAGGCCGGAGCCATCTGTCGAGGCGGGAGAGGGAACTGAGGGAACCGCGCAGCGAACGGAGGGACGGGAGATCGAGCGTGCGTCGTTGCTGCATTGAAAGGAAAACTGCATGTCATAGAAATTTGTTGGGCCGATGAGATGTAGCTGGATTTCTTGGCACTTCGATGGATTTTTTGGTTGTGGGGGAGCCAGGGGTACTGTAGAGTGTGGGAAAGGGCAGCCTTTCCTTGGCAGCTGCTCATCATCTGCGTTTCCCACTCCCAATCCGTCAACTCAGACGATTGATTTATGGGAGTTCGTCCAAACGACGCCTGAGTGAGTGGTGAAAGGCAGCCACATTCTTTCATCAATCAGGGAGCCGTTCGGAGCTAGATCGGGAGTTCCTTAACCCCTTGCTAGATGTCCACTTTGCGTCTACAGAAGTTCATTTTTCCTTTGCAACCCTCGGGAGGCTACAGATTCTTGAGCGCCCCCACAAAGTAGGCCGCATGTTAGGGTTCCCCATAGTATGGCCTAAGGACTTAAGGCGCCAACTCACAAGGCGCAAGACTCGAGCTTGGCTGCGAGCTGGGTCGGGTTTAGGGAGGATCCGGATCTTCTTGATCCTGGTGGTCTGGCACACCCATTCGCCCATGTGCCCCCAGACTGGATTCCTCTGGTCTCCCACCAGCTCGCTTCGTGAATCAGACAGTGGATATCAGTGGCCCACGTGAACCGGTGGATTTGTTCAGGCACCCTCGCCGGCTTCGCCGAAGCCCCGAAGACCCGAGGCCGAAGAGCCTCCGGCCGAGGCGGCCGAGGAGCTGGAGGTGGTGCCCCGGTGCTTGGGGTGATCGAGCGATGGGAAGAGGAGTTCAAAGATCATCGAGCGTTTAAACATAAAAAAAAGGCAATGTATAATGTATGTAAACTTGTATTATATTAACTATTGAATAGTTAGTAATGATGTATACAAAAATATACAATTTTACATACCGTACATTATATACATTCCCTAAACAATGGAAGTGGAAAACCACCTGTACATGTTGGTTGGTACCCGGAAAACAAAGAAACAACAACACATCACTGTGCACCAGAAGGTTCAATCACTCGAAAGTGATCCCCCAAAGACACCACACCTCTGAACATAAGAGTAGGTGATATGTTCCAGCACCATGGAGTTGGGGTGGTGACCATGGACACCCCCTTTCCATCCCTTTTCCTCACTATGTCAGGTTCCATCCCAAAAAACGACCCCCCTGCTGACGAGGTGGTTTTTACTGGTTCCTCGTCATGTCGAAAGCGTGATCCTTCCGAGTCTCCGATCCCGATCCTGAGCCAGGCTGAGGTTCCAAGCGCCAGACAGGCCCCGCCTCAAGGAGTGGCGGGGCGTTGGGCGTCGGGCGTTGAAAGCCATGGCGTGTCGAAACGTCAGTCGGGAGCGCAGTCGCCAATTTTTCAATATGTTTTGGACTCGACGAACGGCTGCGAGTCGAGGAATGTCCTGAAACCTTGGCTGGGTGGTTCTTCTACGCCACTGGTTTCCTGAATCTGGGTCGATCCAACCCAGGATGTTCTGCTTTTCGGTGCTCTTCGCTGCTCCTGGATCTGGGGGGGCCGCCAGGAAGTTCTCGTGATGTGTGCGAAGCTGGCCGGACGACGGGAGCAAAGCTCCTGGAGGACGGGAGGAATGGTGAGGTGGGAGATCTCCACCCCAGACTGAACCCTAGAACATCCCTTGAAGTCCCTAGAAGATCCACCCTGTCCGAGTATCTTTGGCACCAGTGGTGTGTCATTTTCAGGTCCTGGCGCAAAGAGGGGTTAACCAAGCGAACTTGGAGCGTTGACATGGCCAACTGAAAGCATCGTCGGGTCGCGACACGCGCGTGTCGTCCCGACCGGTCCCCCAGCCCCCGACATGTCTACCGAGGGGAAACGAAGCGTGAGGGGTGTGAGGATCGAGGATCTCAGCCTTCGTGTGCTCTCCACCGATCGCCCATGCACCATCGACCACCGAGACAGCATGCACTGGACCAAGTACCCCACCCGCCCTCCTCTCATGCGCCGGACCTCCCTCATCCTTCCCTCGCCCGACCGATTTTCTCCCCTGACCACCCCCACCACGGTGCACCCGACTCCTTGTGGACTCTCTTCCCTGACCGCGATGGACCTGGCGGAGCCCCGCCCAGGAGGGCTCGCGGCGCTTGCGGGAGAATCTGCTGAAGCTGCGCCTCGAGAACCGCCGCCACCGAGGCGCGACCGCACCGACGAACCACCGGACCGCGTCCGCGGTGGCGGTGCCACGGGGGGGGACCTTTCCAGTGAGTGGGAGGTGTGACTGGAGTGTTTTTCTTTCGCAATCTGTTTTCAGGGAGAACAGGAATGCGGTGCATCTTTTCAGCAGGGCATTCAGGGCATCGGAAGAACCGTTGGAATCTTTGGACTTGACCTTTCAATCATCAGCCTTGTCCCATACCCATGGACACATCACGACGCATCAAAATTAGCTCCTCATGGACTTATGAACCCAATGCTTCTTAGATCTTCTTAGAGATCTTAGTACTTAGCGTGTTTGGTTTTTTGGTTTTACCATCGAAAAAAAAACAAAAAAAAAACACACAATACATTTCATTCGATTTACCAGTTTTTGCAGCCTTTCTACGACCCGACCCTCCTTTCGACCGGACGCTCTTCCTGCGCCCCCCCCGGCCATCCATCCGCTCTCCGTCGCAGTTCGACCGGATCCCCCGTGCAAGCCGACGGCTTCGGCTGGGGAGCCCGTCTGGACGGGCCACCGGACCACGTGTGGCTTGGTATTGCTACTGCTTGGCCCCCCTGGACCAGAGGAGACTACTCCGACTCATCCGTTCGAAAGAGCAGAGTCTGGGGCGCCCACTCACACACGTCACATTCCTTCGGAAGTCCGACCTCCTCGGTGCAGCTGAATTCGATGGAGGGAATTCGAGGTGAAGAAGCTGTCCATGAGAAGAAAGCTTTCCGATGCCATGGGACCAGAGTGGGTCCGACCTGGTCCGACCACACGAAAACCAGGACCCCTCCAGGATCCAGTCCGGTCTGGTAGACACCCCCCGGGTTGAGAGGCTACGGAAATAGACACCCCGAGTCTCAGGGTCCTGGTCGTCAGATCGTCATCCAACATTTTAGTAATCCTCCCGAACGAACAATAAGGCACGGCGAAGGCAGTTCAGCTGCTTTGCAACCTTTTGCTTAAATATGGACTATCCTCACTATCCTCTTGGACAGTATCCAAAGAGGGAGGATACAAAACAAAGGCCTTGGAGTGCATCTAGGAGCAGCTCAGCTCCCGCTTGGGAGGGTGCCAAAGCCACCTCCACTCTTGTGACACGTGGCCTGCTTGGCCCGTGGTCCAAAGCCCTTCTTCTTCACCGAGCGGCCCAGGAGGATGTTGAAGCCCCGAAGGGCCCCTGGCGCCCTGGCGAAAGGTGGCCGATGGGCAGGCGGCGGATCGGTTCGACGCAGAGGGAGGCTCGAAAGTGGCCGCTTTACGAACTCCATGTGGCCTGGTATCCCAACAAGTTCGAATAAACATGACCACTTCCAAAAAAGTCATGGATTCGGGGCCCGCTTTTTCTTTGGGCTTTCGCAGCAAATCACTTTGGAATTCCCATGTCCAAAATTGAGCACTGCAAAGCAAAATTGGACCCTGAACACTACAAACGTGGTTTTGAGAGCCCTCAACGGCGGAAAGACATAATTAATTTATAAAAAATAACAAGAAGCTACTAGGTGGAGGCCATCGCTATTAGGTTGGAGGCCATGACTACTAGTAACATACCGACATTCT